CTGCATATAGAGGGGTATGCTAAGCTCTGGAGCAGTTAACGAATAAGAATTTAATATTTATTAGTCAAGTAAATATTTTTGGAGAAGTGACAGCAATGTGCCCATCCTGATAAGACTGAACACATTGACTTATCCTGTCTTGAGGGGCAATTTATTTATTCTTCATTAATAGTTGTACTTGATTTTCCAATACTCGTTCCATTCGGAAATTTTAAAGAAAGTGTCAACTCTCTCAACCTAATCACTTACATTTGTTCAGAGAACAAATTCAAGGATGCTGAACTGTTCTTTAAAATCTGACCACTCACAATAACTTTTATGGCTTTCTTAAACCATGGGTAAAATAAAGCATAAATCAAAGGATTCATGGCGGAGTTATAATAAGCACACCAAACACAGATTTCGTAGATGTAGGCAGGGGTGATAAAGCCCATGAAAGCATCGATTAATGAGTCAATACTATATGGTAACCATGAAATCATGAAGGCTGCAACCGTGATACCCAGGGTTTTCGCTGCTTTTCTCTCTCTCTTGGCCACTCTGGCTTTGTAACTCTCTGAGGATGATTCTGTTTTGCTACCAGTACTTTCAATCTTCTTTGCCTGCAGTTTAGCTACAAGAAAGATATGACTATAGAGAATTATCATAACAAGGGTAGGTATAAAGAAAGACAGAAAATCTATCAGCACCCAGTTTTGATTTACAACTGTCTGACAACCTCCTATACAGTTGACAGTGTTAGATATCTCCTCCAGCCCGTCATCATAGGCACCTGTGTAGAACACGGCCCCGCTGTACACCAGCGGCAGGACCCAGGAGATAAGGATGCACAGTCCAGACACGGGCACCGTGACCTTGGTCGGATAGACCAGAGGGTCAGTAACCGCAATGTACCTGTCGATGGAGATGAAGCACAAGTGGAAGAGAGATGAGTAGCAAAATGCCACATCACAGCACGTGTGGAAAGTACAGAAGCTTTTCCCAAAGTACCAGCAGCTCTCCACCGACCTGACCATGCTGAAGGGCATGACAGTGACACCCACCAAGAAGTCAGCACAGGCCAGGGAGGCGATGAGGAAGTTGGTGGGGGAGTGCAGCTGCTTGAAGTGGAGGATGGAAATCATCACCAGGAGGTTTCCAAACACAGCCAGCACAGCCCCAAAGCCAAACAGCGCGTACAGAAGGATCCTGGACACAGGCGAGTAGGGCGCCTTCACACAGGACCCGTTCACGTTCTCGTAGCAGAGCTGCAGGGGCCCGGGTGCGGGAGAGGAGCTGGTCATGACTGTGCTGCTTATATCCGGGGTTCACTCTTCTTCCTGATGATCATGAAGTATATCGAATTCTAGTTTTAATATACCTAGAAAAATAAACCCCACTAAATCCAACAAGATGCTAAAGAAATTATCTAGTATTATTTTAATTTTTCTTTTTAAATATAAATTCCAAATGCTTTCTATAGCAACATAAAATCCCTCTACCATTACACTGCATAAGTTTTCTTTCTTCTGTTTTATTTTTAAGAATTATCTTTATTTAATTCTATTTATTTATTTATATATTTATTTATTTATTTTAATTTGACTAGAGAGGGCTAGAGAGAGAGTGAGAAAGCGAGCCACCAGGTCTGGGACCTGAAACTGCAGTTGGTCATGTAGGAGTCCAGTGCCCTTAACCATCACATCACCTGCCAATCCCACACTGCAAATTCCTAGGTTTTCTAGGGATTGATTTCAACCAACAAATTCCTCATTTTCTTAAATTTGATAGAATTCCTTTTAGTCAGAAATATCTTTTTGCATCTTATTGTTACCTCTACAGTTTCCCTGTGTGACAGTCACTGGTTTGCAGTTATGGAGCTGAAGGCTCACCTCCTGTTAACTTCACTCCCATGGTCTGTCCTGCATTACTTCCCGAAGAAGGTGATCAGTTCAGCTAAATAAATGCCATTGATGGGAAAATCCCAGGATGGAATCCCTATAGAGCAAGGTGTGAACTAGTGAGATGATCTTTAACGAAGATTATTAGGAAAGTTATTCTACAAAACAAGTCTTGAGTTTAAAATAGATTACCGTTGTGTATTTTTGGTGAATTTTTTTTTCCTTGGTGTATAGATCTGAACTATACAATAGTTCCCAGTTCCCAATCCTGACTTAGCAATCTTAGTGGACTTCTGTTACGGAGGTACAATAGGTGCCAATGAGAGAGTCAATACTCGGCTCTTTCTCCCTGTTAAAGATCATTTTTGCATCTGCATTGACTATCAACAAGCAGAAAACACATTGTGCAGGGAGGGCAACTTAAAATGGTGAAATCCATCACATAAAGGCCTTAGAGAACTACTCGATGTTTAAAGGCATCAGCATCTCTGAGGTTCTGATGGAGAAGTGATCAGTCCCTCTTACAGGATATTGTCCCTTGGAGCACATCTGAAACATTTTTTATCTGTGTTTCAAAGGGGCAGTGAACACTGACAACACATTCGCTTGTTATTCCTGGTGATCGTCCTTTCTGCTTCCAATGCTACAAGAAGTTTAAAAAAGAATAATGAGCGGGAATCTGGAAAATGGGGACCAACTCCTTGGTGATATTCTCAGCCCTGGAATGTAACATGACTGAGCAAGAAAAAGCATAATGGTGCCTAATGAAAGAAGGATTCCAGTCTCTTCCCAGGGCAAGGCTCTGGCCTTGGACACCATATTCATGAACTTGCTTTTTGAGGTATAAAGAGCAATAGGTATTACTAATATTAATTCATCTGGCCATTTGATTGCTGATCAATAAAACTAGCAATCTTCGAATAGTCCTTCTTTCGAATTTCTCCTTATATGTTCTGAGGGACTGATTTTGTGAAATGATGTCAATTGCCTGCCTGCATGCCAACTTTCTCAACCTAGGCATCATGGCCACTTGAGTTTCTGGTAACTCACATAGGAGCTGTCTTACACATTGGATAGTGTCTAGCAGCAATTCTTTTACTAGATATCAGAAAAATCCTTCCAACTATGACACCAAAATTGTCTTAAGGTATTATGAAATGTCCTGTGCGTGGGGGAATCAACTCTCCCTTCTCCTATAGAAATTATTGTTCTAGGCAATAAAAATGTATCAAGCAATATCTGCTATTTTGAAGAAACAATGTTTTATCTCCATCTATCATCCTGAGATTTATTCATTAGTTAATTCCTCTAGTCAATGCATATTTATTGAATCCCAGTAGATGAGGAAAGAGTATTGGGAACCAGCAGTTAGCGTAACGGCTGTGTCGCTGGACTCCCATGTAGTGGACCGCGGTTTGCGTCCCGGACCCGGTGGCTTAAAA